ACTAAAAGTTCTGATCCACCTGTCTCTAATACATATTTTATATCACCTTTATATGAAGAGAAACATGGATGGAATATCATTATTATGAAGCCTGACAGTTCAAAAGGCCTCTTCTAGCAAAGTCCAGAGAATTTTTGAGCATTACTTGATATAGTAGAACGTTTGAGAAAATACAATTGACCTCAGCAGGAGGCTTTTTCTCATTCTGCAACCCTCTGTCTCCCAGACCCTCTTCTGTACAGCACAGACTAATGCAGCTGGGTATTTTTCTGACTTGTGTGGGACTAGGGGAACAATGGGAAGGAAGATGGATGTGGAGGCCTGAGGGGAGCGAGCTGGTGGCAGTGGGACATTGCTCAGCAGGCTGCTCTGACAGGGACATGGGTCTGTCACCCGCCTCCCCCTCCTGGAACAACTGTGCTGCTCCTTCCCTTCTTTCTCTGGTTTCCTTCCACCAGCTCTTACTTACTTTATGGGTAATCTGGCCTTTCACTTGTGCTTTCATGAACAGATATTTTACCCACATCTGGCCTTCCTATATATTACAGGCATCCTTTAGGTTTCTGAAGCCACTGTGTCCTTTTTAAGATTTAACTCAAACTGGTTTGTGCCAGTACACATGTAAGGGGAACTCACCGCCATGCTGTACTTCAGGGACTCCGGGAAGCCTTAGCCTCCTCCCAGTCCCCCGGCTCCGAGGCCTACCATCCCTGAATTCTCGCACTTGCTCTGTCTGGGATGTGATATCCTTCTCCACACCTTGTTGTTCTGCAGGCCAGTCCCTTCCTCCTTTTCCTTCTTTTTTCTGAAGTCCCACAGACAGGGAGTCCCAGTTCAGTCCCAGTTCTTTGAGTTGAGTAAACTTTACTAAAATGTAGGAAGGTGGAGGAGGTGACTGTACATGCCATGGTGCAGACAGCCCTGTCATCAGCAGGCCCACAGACACACTTCCTGGCTGGCCTTGCTCACAGACAATGTCTACACTTCAGCCCCTGGTGATGTCACAAGGCTCCTCTCTCTCTCTGCTCCTCAGCTGCCTCTCAGGAAGCAACAAAAGGCTCCCAGGCCTTCTGGAACAATTCTCTCCCTGAATTAAATTCCAAGCCAAGTCTGACACATGCAGGTCACAAAGTAAACTCATGCACTGTGAAATGACAATGCTTTGGTCAACAACAGACCACATGTCAGATGGGGGTTCTGTAGAATTAAGATGCACAGATACTTACTTTTGTGTTACAGTTGCCTACAGTATTCAGTACAGTCCTGTGCTGTACAGCTTTATAGCTTAGGAGCAGTAGGCCACACCACATAACCGGGTGTGTAAGTTCCTGTAAGTGTGCGGTTAGAAGTGTGCACAATGATAAATCTGCCTGATGATGAACTTTGGGGGATGCATTCCTTGTTAATCAATGCATGACTGTACTTCACTAAACCAAGAGATTTATGCTCTGGAATTGCATATTCCATCAGCACAATTCCTGGAAATGGCAGTGCTTTCTCAATTTGGACAGGTTCAAATATTTGTTTGATAGGACTGTCTTCAGAGTCCATACATAGAGCCAAGGATTCTGGAAGAGTATTGTGGAAGCAGTCCAATTTGTCCTAACCCCATCCCATGCAGGTGATCAGGGGAAGAAGATTCCAGAAACCCATGTTGGATCACAGTAAAGAGATCCGTAGATGACAGGCATTTGTAGTTTCTTTTGTGAGTAATGAAGAACAAACAATGGTTTTTGAGTAGACTTTTTTTTTTCATCTTTACAACTTAGCTTTAGGGAGAAATTTCATGAGTAAGATGGTGTCACCTAGGGTGACCAAATGGGAAAATGGAGACAGAAAAATCCATAAAAAAGACCTTTCCCTGAATTTCTTTGTATGCATTAAATGTAAATAATAAATAGAGATTTGAAGCAGCTTCTTTTAATACTTCAGTTATTTGATGACCTTCCTTAAAGGATGGGGGGAGGCTTAACTAACTGTTTTGGTGAATGGAGGAATATCTTGGGGGTTGAAAAAGTGATACCTTTTATTCTTAAAAAAAGAAATGAGAAATTTAAAAATTAGAAATATCAGGCGGCACCTGTGATTCAGTGACTAGGGTGCTGGCCCCATATACTGAGGGTGGCCAGTTTGAACCTGGCCCCAGCCAAACTGCAACAAAAACCTAGTTGGGCGTTGTGGTGGGTGCCTGTAGTCCCAGCTACTCAGGAGGTTGAGGCAAGTGAATCAGCTAAACCCAAGAGCTGGAGGTTGCTGTGAGCTGTTATGTCATTGCACTCTACTGAGGGTGACAAAGTGAGATTCTGTCTCTAAAAAAAATTAGAAATACCTATTCACTAAGACATGATAAAAATACTTTGGTCTTTTATACATGGTACCAAATATGACTTCAAAAGAATCAAAGGGCATATGTATCAGGGCTATCAAAACCCCTCAAGGCAGCCTCAGTTAATGTAAAGATTGAAATTTCACTTTTAATTAGGACCATCTCCGATCAAATGTCACAACCCTGGCCAGATGTGGTGGCTCATACCTATCATCCTAGCATTCCAGGAGGCCAAGGCGGGTGGTTTGCTTGAGCTAAGGAGTATGAGACCAGCCTGAGCAAGAGTGAGGCCCTGTCTCTACTAAAAATAGAAAGATTAGCTGGGGAGTTGTGGTGGGTACCTGTAGTCCCAACTACTCAGGAGGCTGAGGCAGGAGGATCATTTGAACCCTAGACTATGAGGTTGCTGTGAGCTATGATAATGCCAAGGGACTCTACTCAGGGCGAAAGAGTGAGACTCTGTCTCACAAAAACAAAATAAAACAAATACAAGCAACAACAACAACAAAAAAATCACACCCTAAGTATTTTCAACCAGAAATTGACTTCCAAAGGAATGGAATTTGCACAATTCAATTATATGGCTTCCTCAGTCTGAAAGTCAGATTACAGATCTGCTGCTGTGTGTGTGTGGTCTGCATTTTGGGGAGCTGGAGAAATGGGTGTGTCTTTAGAAAATGTTTCGCTTTCTACCTCATACTACTTTTCTGGGTTTTTTTAATTCACTTTTTATATACATAAATTAATTTTATAATAAATAAATATCAAAACAAATAAAATATGTCATCCCAGGTTGCAGAGTTAATGCTACCACTTCATGGTGACCCAGCTGGCGCTTCTGAAATGGTGTGTGGAGAGTGAAGCCTAAGAGATGTCTGCTTTGACAGTGCTGAACTACCACCACTGCCTGCTTGGGAGCAGAGGGGCTGATGCAGCGCTAGGGGAAACTGCACCTGCCGGGGCTTCTGGGGCTGCAGTCTCCGCTGTTTGGTCAGTTGCATCTCTCCCACGACACCAGCCGGGCAGAGGAATAGACTTTAATAGTTCCACGCAGTTAGGGAGAGCTGCCTTGTACCAAATTCTGCTTTAGCATCAGAGTGTAGTACAGTTCAGGTCTATACAGAGAACCCTAGAAAACAAGAGGAAAGGAGAATTGTGTTTTACTAGTGTGAAGGGAGGTGCACGCACTAATTATATATTTCCCCAGCCCTGTGATAACTGCTTCACTTCCGTTTGTAAGGGACTACTCACTGATAACTACGCAGTGTGGACACTCAGATTCAGAAAGGTTGGGTAATTGATCAAAGGCCACACAGTAAATGATTAAATTATTTCTCAGCAGCCTTCTTTTCGTCTCTAAAATCTGTGTTTTTCCCCGTGACACCCTGCTCCCGGGATAAAATACAATCCCTTGTGGTTTATCTAAAGCGACTGAGTTATGTAAGACAGCCCGGAAAAGACACAGCCCAGAGGCGAGTGCTGTACCCAGCACCTCCCTTTTCTGTCAAAGCTCAGCTTGAGAAAATTCTTCCCGAAGGCTGGGCTTCAGGAGGATAAAGCCGTCACCGGGTGGGGGTTTTATTTACTCATTTTTAATGAGTAGGGGCGACTGCTGCGGCTGAGCAGTAAGTAAATACCCCGCCAGGGACACTGCGAGGGAGCGCTAATGACAAGGAGTTCCCAGTTCCCTTAAGATCACTTGATGTAAGCCGGTCGGTGGGCAACCCAGGGAGGATGCTGCTTTCCACGGGTTTTTATTAGGATCGCTGTGCAGTTTCCCTCCTCCCTGACTTTGCGCACTCTGCTGCCGAGCCTCAAGAATCACTGCTCTGCTGAATTGAAAGCGAAGCAGAGTAACTACCAGAAACACGCCACGTGAATCAATATAATGAAACATGTGTAATGGGCACACCTGGAGAGCTGAGTGGAAAATAAACAACCAGAAGAGGAGCGGAAGATGTCTCGGGTGGAGTTGGGGAGCGCGTGGGAATCAGAGCGCACCTCCCCCCTGCCTCCTACTCCAGCTCTCACGCTGCGTTTCCTCCCTGCTGGATTCTGCCTCGGTTCTGTAACGGCCAAGTCTCCGCTCCCAGGGCAGAGATTTGGGCCAATTATTATACCTTGAGAATGGAGATGAAAGTACTTTTCTCCTAAATTACTTGGAAAATTGCCTCCATTTTCTTTTCCATTTTTGCTAGTCTAGGTGTCTGGCCTTTGGCTGAGAGGGTCTAGTCCAACTAGTCTGGGACCGAGTGACCCCTGGAGGGCTGTCACTGAAATGCCATTGCAGTCATTGCAGCCTGTTTTAGCTGTTAGAATATCATTGCTTTGAACTTTGATAGCTTCTTCCCACAGAACAGCCTAAACTTCTTATCAAATTTCGAAAGAATTAGGTATATTCAAAATGGAAAATGGAGTGTAGGACAGACACAATGATTGGGGGTCTGCACATTTACAGACTTGACTATGATTATTTCAGATGTGTCTTTACTGCTTTATGGTCCAGGAAGAGGGTTCTTGATCCTCTTAAATAAGAGGGTCCACTGTAAACAGAGCTCCTTAACTTTCACATAAAACCCTACTGAAGCTATTGAGAGGGACCCAACTGCTATACATGCAAATGTCTGAAGATCTGCCTGACACAGTGACTATACTGGGGCTCAAGTGCCTCTGTACCACATGGTGCACTTCTCTTCTGTCACTGAATTCTCAAAGTAATTCCATGGTCACGAAATTCTTGCATCCTTTCTTAGATGCCTGTCTCTAGAGCATTATCACTATTGGGGCCTAGAAGTTGTCAAATTCATCCAATGCTATATATACAGACGCAAACAGGTCCTTCTTACAACAGGCACGCATGGATGTTTGTTGAATTAACTCTGGCCTTGGGTGGATGTTTGTTAACCATTGAGCTGAGTTACTTGAAGAAACTGAAGATCCTGGAAAATTAAGTGACACGTGAAAGTCTGAGAGTTATTAAATGGCTGAGTTGGACTTGTGAAGAACCTCCCCCCACGGCTCCCCCTCTGGCTTCCCTCAGCCTCTGAGTGAGAGGATACCACTGCTGCCATTTCTAAGCCTGTATTTTCTTTCCATTACAGCATATTGCCACCCAACTCACAGACTCAGATCTTCCTGGTAAAACTCAGGGATGCTTGCAGGTGAGTGACTGATTTATTTCTGGCAGGAGACAGACTGGCATGGAGCACTGATCCTCTGACTAAGGGAGAGGTGGGCCTCGTGTCCTCTCTTCCAGGCAACAAAACGATGTGATCATCCCCAGTACTCAGAGAGCTAGTTCACGGTGGGTAAAGGCCTCTTCTGTAATTAGTGAAAAGTTTTTTCCTATGAAGGAAACAGTGATTTTAAGTCCAGGCAAAACCAGGACTTAGCTGTGCATTTGTCTGAGAAATATGATGAGAAGATGGGACAGTCTAGTCAGGAAGAAAGGCAACCAGGAAAAAAAGCTGTGGGGATGTGGGCTTATTACAAAATTTGTTAAGGGACCCAAATGCCTAAAACTAGCAGAAGAATCCAGAGCAACCCAATAATCGAGAATGAAGAAGAATGTGGAAGAATAGGTCAGGGCTACAAATATAAATATTAGTTGGCAGAATTTCCTAAAACAACTTAGATCTTTCTATAATTTTCAATTTTAGGCCCTAAATTATTCAAATCAATATATATAACACTGTAAATGTTTAACTCTTCTGTGAATTTCTTCTTATTTAAAAATGCATAACTGAGGGAACAACAGAGCTAATCTGTTATCCTTCTTCACTCCAAAATCTGGTCTGTGATCACAGGGCCTGAGGTCAGAAGACCCATGTTTCAGTGTTGAATCTGCCCTGGTTTACTAATTGGGTCACCTTGGTAAGTCCTTTTAGTCCCTGAACTTTAGTCCTGCACCTGAGACAGTAGTGTCTCAGGCCATTCCCTGGGTTCTCTGAACACTGAATAATCAAACATGACCTTGGGCATGTTTCTTAGACAATCTGTGCCTCAGTTTCCCTGTCTGTAAGGAAAAAATTATACCAGAACCTACCTTTCTGTGTCTCTGTAAGAATACCAGATTCTGGCCACACAGAAAGCATGCTGAACAGGACAGGTACAGTAAATGTGACCTATGGACACAATCAGGGATCTGGGGAAGGGGCATTGTCCTGTCCCACAGTTGCAGCCAGGATCACTGTAAAGGGTGTACTTTGAAATCTTTAAAGTGTATATGTAAATGTGCATAAATGCCCAGGTAAATGAGAGACATTAATGTCATTATTGTATGATTTTGTGTTTCTTACTTACTTATTTTCCTCAAGTGTCTTGACAAATATACCATTGTCCATTAAGAAATAGGGCCCCCATGTCAAGATCTCTGTATAGAATTTCTTTTGTGTTCTTTAGTATTACTTAATAATATTTATACCATTTTGCCCTTTCAAAGACAGCTCAATCTCTCCACACCACAGCGGTAAATGGTACATGTTGCTATAATTTTTTCTTCACCCGTGAGGGAACCCGGGCTCAGGGAGGTGATTTATTTCACCTTCCTGGTGGTTGGGGAAGAGTGAGTAAGAGGAGAGAGATCTGCCTTGCCAATCTAGCCTTTTCCATTCCAGGGGCCATGCCTCTCACGTCTTACCAGCCTGTCTCTTCTAAGCCTTTGTTAGCCAAGCCATTTGCACCACCCATCTGGATGGTGCCAGGGGCCGGCCTGCTCCAAAGCAGTATCCTTAGCGAGGCAGGAGTTTAGAAACAGCATCTGACTGATTCAGGAACTCCGCTCACATCCCCCATTCTCTGCTGCCTCAGTTTTCCCCAGTTCTGTGCTGATTCGAGATGCCCACCCCTCACTCTGAGCCATTACTGTGCCGCCCCACATGGCCACACTCAGAAGAGTGTGAGGGGTGGGCATCTCGAATCAGCACAGAGCAGCCGCTACAGGCAAGCTATTTTTAAAAACGCTACTTTGCTGAATTATTGCAATAATCGCTCCGCCATCTATGCAGCGTGGGGTTGCCCCGACAGGGCAGAAGACCAGCAGCTAATCCGCCGGCCTCTGCCCCTGGAGAGATGTGAGAAGCGCGCTGCAGCCGTGAAAGTGCAGCCCGCACGGCCCTCGCCGGCCTCTCTCTGGGTTTCCAGCTTTGTATTCCCAGCCAGGCATCCACCACTCTGCAGAGGGCGAGGGTCACGCTCCTCTGCAGTCTCTCAAATCGCGGCGCAGTCATACTCTTTATAGATCTCGTATTGTCAGTAGAAAACAATTTCGAGGCCTTATGTGATTGGGGCAGATGGCCAGCTGGAGGCATTTGAAGAAAATATCTTTTCACATTTCCTTTTATTGAATTTGGAGAACTCGTGGTTTAATGCACAGTTTCGTACTGCATTTCAACAGAGCAAAACTCGGAAGAAAATAGCTTTTCAAGCTACAGGTGGGTCTTGGTAACGCTTTGATTAAATCATTGTTAGCGAGCAACGTTTCCCTGCACTCATCACAACCCTTTCTCTAACCACAGTAATTCTCACCTTTGATTTCATTATTTTAGGAAGGAAGACAGAAGGAAAAATGAAATGCAATTTAACGAGATCTTTACTCATCCACCTGCAAAAGGAGAAACTTAGAGGACACAATGAAATAACACAGAATGTAAAGGGCCCACTGCCAAGCTTTCTAGGCAGGAGCCTTTTAAACATGCAAAATCAGTGGTTACACCGTTAATAAATTAGCTTTCTGATAAAATGTAATCCACTCTCAACAATTTGTGTGGCTGAAGCACTTTGCACATTGGGCGTGTGGAATGAGTCAGGGGCTATCCAGGGAGGGAGCTCTGCTTCTCTTCTTATAATGAGATGTTGTTACATCATCTTTATCATCTCTGTGAATGTAATAAACTCCTTTATCCCCCTGAAATTCAGCCTCACACTCCTGCAGGGTAGAGGTCATGTGTTAAGTTTTTTCTGTGATCTCTGTGCTTTCAATGTAGCATGTCTGCATGTCACATGTGGGAGGATGGAGCGCCCCAATGCTCTAATATGCAACGGATGTTGGCTCCTATTCAAACACAACTGTTTGGTCCTTTAACCTATGGGATGACTATTATCAAAAACAGGAAATGAAAGAAAAAAACTATAGAAGAAAGAGAGTCTGTTCCCCCCACCCCCGAAGGATACCCAGAGACAATTGTTCTAGATGGTTTTTCTTCTCATCTGCAGCTGAGATGGGTGGTTTTCACCCAAATCATATTCTTTTTGAGAAACAATCCTTCCCCAGTGAGATGGGACAATTGGTGGGGGGGTAAAGAAGGAGGAAATAAAGGAATAAAGATCTTTACCTCATAGCTTTGCGGCAGGTCTGTATACACCCCTGAACAGGTGTGGACCTCTGGGCCCCAGGGTGTCAAAGCCGACTGCCTGAAGGCTGTATGAGGTTTAGAGACACAGAGAAATGGGAAAAGAAAAAACCAGAAAGGAAAGTAATCTCTGGCCTCTTGGCTTGTGGCAGAACAGTGTGAACCCCGGAGCTGGTGAGGACCTTTGACTGGCAGGGGACCTTCCATAGGTGCTCTTACAGTTTGGTGTGGTCAAAGGGCTGAATGATGGCTAAACGGAATGTGAGCAGCAGTGATGTTTGTCACAGTAAGGCCTGGGATAAACACCTTCTCCACATGCTCCTCCATAGGCCTTTCCTATTGTTGCCAACTGGGGGAGACACATCTCAGAGATCCAGCCAGGCGCCCCAAGTGGAGACAATCCCCACTGAGTGGAGCCCCCCGGGAGTGCTCTGACTCATTCCATAAGTGAGGGGTTTCTATTCTGTTGTATGACTACATATGTAGGTGTATTTGTTTCTGCAGTGCCTAATAGCTTTTAACCGATACACTGAGTACCTTTTGGATCAGAATAAATGCTACTGTGGCTAAAAACTGAGAGATCATTGGAATATGACTCTGAGCCACCTTGGGAGGCGTGTTATCCACTGAGATGGAAAAGACAATGCTAATGTGACTTTTAAAGGCTCTGCTTTTGCTCTAATATTTCTCAAAAGGAGATTTCATAAACCTCTAGAACAGAAGCTGAGTGGCTATTGAATCTACCAAATCTTCAGCTTCAAATCAGTGATGATGGATGGAAAAGTGACACTCTAGGCATCAGCAAGAACAGTAATATGTTTGCCAAATAAATATATGGGCTATCTGGGATTCATCTAGGGGAAAGCGAGGGGACCTGAGAGGCTCAGAGTGCCAGTGACATTGTCTTGTGTGCTGGTGTCATAGGGTATGAATGTGGGTGCTCCAAGTCTTAGACTTTCTTCCCCACCTTTTCCTACCTTTGCCTTTGTTACTAGCCCTCTTGGATGACCTTTCCAAGAAGATGTGTCCAAGGGAGGCAAGGGTTGCATGATAATTGTATTGTACAAAAACAGAAGGTGGACCTCAAGAGAAAGTGTGGAGTCTATGTTATTTTTTTTTTTTTTTTGGTTATAAAGAATGTGGGATTGATGTAAGCTACAGTTATTGAGCTCACAGCTTATGGTCTCCAAAAATGTCTGAAGTTTTCTGCTTTCTAATTTTGTGCTTTTAACCGAGAGAAAATTAGTTTTCATTTGAGGCAAAAAGTAATGATTCATTGTCATGTCCAGGTTTATTTGGCTAGTTATGAGATCTGGAGGCAATTTGAGATTTTGATTTTTATCACTCTACATAAAAATCTTATTAACAAGTTCTTTTCAGTGATCTCATTGTCTTTCAGAATCACCTCTGCTTTCTTATATTTTAAAGTGTGCTTTAATTTTTAAAGGGGCCTCCTTTTCTTCATGACTCTTTAAAGATCTTTGCTGGTGTCTTTATTGACAAGTTCATGGGAATTTTTTTTTCCTTTTATTCTGATGGGCTAAAAATGAATGAGTCTTTTCTCAGTGGTGTTAATCTTAATAACATTTATTGTCTAATTCACAAACATTTTTTATCTAATTTACAAAACAGGCCCAGAGTGACTTTTCTTTTTCTTTTCTTTTACACATCGGGTGGGTCTGGCAGTGCTGTGCTCCCATTTCTGCCTGCAGTAATTGGCTAGATCTGAGTAGAGGTGGCTTTCTTTAGAGTCTCTGCCCAAGTGTCCACTACTTGTCCACTGTTCACAGAGGTACTTAACATAGTGTCTTCATTTATGTATGCTATTTGCCTGGTCTGTCTCCAGATTTGACTTTGCAACCCTGGATTTACCTGTGAATCTGTATTTTTGTTTATAAATGCATAGAATTGAAAAAACGATTAGGATGTATCTGCATATCACAAGGAGATTTTAACCCAATATTTATATATTTTAAGTAGTTTCAGAAGAGAAATCTCTTTACCATTTTACTTTATGACAGTGAAAGTAATAATTTGAAATGAAATATTGGCAATGTATTAAAAGGCCAGGAGGTATTTAGTCAAGGAATAAAAGAAATGTTTAGGTGAGAAACATATAATCATAATTCACTACCTTAACAGATCAAAAGAATAAAGTAAATATAATCATTCAAAAGTGGCTACAAAGGAAAGCCTAGTTGTCATCTCAAAAGGCAAAGCAAAATAAAAGAAAAATCTATAGTATAGTATAGAAGAAAATTTCTTTATGTCCATAAAAAATTATCTACCAAAAATCTATAGCTGATATCATAATTAATGGTGAAATGTCAGATGTGTTCCCATTGGGTTCAAACTACTACTACTACTACTACTATCATTGCTATTATACAATGTTGTAGGAGAAGATTTAGCCAGTGTAGTAAGATGAGGAAAAAAACAAATGTATATATATAAATATTGGCAAGAATGTAAAGTTCTTGAATAAGATGTGAAAACTACTTAGAAAAAGAGTAGAATCAATTAGCAATACCCTAGAATTATATTTAGCAAGGTGGACCAGACTGAAGATCAACTTAAAAGTATCACTAGTTTTAACATCTCTAGTTTCTACAGAGACATTAGTATTTACACGATCAGAAAAAAAAAATCTGTTCTCACTAGTAATAAAAATTTTCACAGTTTAGAAATAGATCTAAAATATGGAAATATTTTAAGGAGAATACTATAAAACTTTACTTTGGGATATGAAAGAAATGATTACTGACATTAGAGGTACGTCTGTTTATTTTCTATTGCTCCATAGCAAGTTACCACCAACTTGGTGGCTCAAAACACGACCCATTTATTATCTCACAGTCCTATAGATTAGAAGCCTGGGCATGGTATAAAGGGGTTGTCTGCTCCGGGTTTCACAGGCTAAAATCTAGGTGTCGGCCAGGCTGTTTTCTCATCTGGAGACTTGGGTTCTCCTCCAAGCTCATTCAGATGATTGGAAGAATTAATTTTCTTATGGTTATAGGAGTGAAGTCTTTGTTTTCTTTTCAGCTATGTGCTCAGAGCTTGCCCTTACCTCCTAAAAGCTGCTCTCAGTTCCTAACATGTGGTTCCCTCTGCTGACAAGGTGGCAATTTATTTCTTTAAAGCCAGCAAGAGAGTGTCTGCTGTTGCTTTTTGACTCTTGTAAGGGCTCACCTAATCAGGTCAGGCCCAGCCAGAAAAATCTCCTTTAATATTAATTCATAGTCAACTGCTTAGTTTCTTTAACCACTTATGCAAAATTCCTTTGCTATATATTGTAACATAATCACAGGAGTAAAATTCAAAGTCCTTTGTATACTCAAGGAGAAAGGATTTATAGGGCATGTACACTACGAAGCAGAGAAATCTTGAGGTCATTTTAGAATTCTGCCTAATATGGTGTACTTCTTGTATTAAATGAAAGATGTCTAGTTTTTCTAAAATATCTGTAATTCAGTGCAATTCAAATCCAAATCCCAATAGATTCTTCATGGAATTTATCAAGCTAATTCTAAATTCCACTAGGAAGAGTAAATATATACACCTAAGCATAGTCAAGAAAATTCTGAAAAGGGGAAAGACTTATCATATATTGATAAGTTAAACAATGCCATAGTAATCTAAAGGGTATTAAGTGGGGAGGTTGACCAAACACTTGGGGAGCATTAATAGTCCAAAACCAAACCAGCATGTGAATAGAAACTTAATATATGTCCATGGTATCTTAAATCAAAAGGATGAACTATTCCATACTTTTCTTAAAGAGAATAAATGTTCATAATCAAATATGGTTGGGTGTAATTAAAAATATATGCGATCCTTCTCCCTGTTCTTGGCACAGAGCTTCTAAAACTCTTGAAATTTCTTGTGTGGTAAGAATGCTTTTTATATACTAATGAGATTACTGAAGGGGAGAGTTCTTAGATAGCTTCTGGACAGCAGTCTGGTCACCAGAAAAAACAACCATGTGATTAGAGAGTTGGTCCTTTCAGCCACACCTCCTAATTTCTGGGAGAGGAGAAGGGCTGAAGAATGAGTTTAGTCATCAATGGCCAATGATTTAATCAATAATATAATGCCTCCTCCATAGAAACTCTCAAACAATGACATTTGGGGAACTTCTGGGTTAGTGACACATTATGGACTGGCAGGGTGGCATGCCTGGCGGCATCATGGCAGCTCCACACTCTGCCCCATTCCTTGCCTTATGCCTCTTTCCATTGGCCATTTCTAAGCTGTATCCTTTATAATAAAACTACAATCATAAATATAATATTTTTCTGAGTTCCATAAGTCATTCCGTTGAATTATCAAGCTTGACAAGGGATTATGGGAATGCCCAAATTTGTAGTAGCTGGATAAAGCAGTTGATTTATG